ACAGGTACCATGAACTCTAGCCTGAACACAGTTGAAGATGGAAATTGGTGACACTAGAAATCTGAAGAGGAAGTGTATCCAGAGCACAGAGCAGAGATGAAAACTGCCATGAGAGCAAATACAGATCGTGCAAAGAACTGAATGAAAAGTAAGAAAGAACCAATGCAGACACTATTTCAAGAATACTAGGTATAAAGAAATACCGAAAAAGGAGGTACTGACCAAAAAAAAGGACTTTTTTTGAAATGGGAGCTATAACTTGGTTAGTAAATTAACAGGAGGAAAGTTATCAGAGATACTTAATACAGGCAAGAAGGGGAAGAGCCAGAAGAAAGGATCAAGATGAGTGTGACGGGAAGACCTCTTGGGACCCTTTGTCCTTGAAACTGGAGGGCAGGGTGGGTCTAGATGTGGATGAGTTAAGAGAGGGGCTAGCCTGGCCTGAAGTTTGGGGAGTTGTGAATGTTCCATTTCACCCATGAAATGGGAAGTGATCAACTTGAGAATAAGAAAAGGGCAATGTAAACCTGGGGGCATCATGTTGCCTGATTTCAAGCTTTATTACAAAACTGTGATCACCAAGGCAGCATGGTCCTGGCACAAAAACAGACACATAGACCAATGGAACAGAGTAGAGAGCACAGATATGGACCCTCAACTCTATGGTCAAATAATCTTTGACAAAGCAGGAAAAATATCCAGTGGAGAAAAGACAGTCTCTTCAATAAATGGTGCTGGGAAAATTGGACAGCTATGTGTAGAAGAATGAAACTCGACCATTCTCTTACACCGTACACAAAGATAAACTCAAAATGGATGAAAGACCTCAATGTGAGACAGGAATCCATCAAAATCCTAGAGGAGAACATAGGCAGTAACTTCAACATCGGCCACAGAAACTTCTTTCAAGACATGTCTCCAAAGGCAAAGGAAACAAAAGCAAAAATGAACTTTTAGGACTTCATCAAGATAAGAAGCTTCTGCACAGCAAAGGAAACAGTCAACAAAACAAAAAGGCAACCCACAGAATGGGAGAAGATATTCGCAAATGACAGTATAGACAAAGGGCTGATATCCAAGATCTATAAAGAACACCTCAAATGCAACACCAAAAAAACAGAGAATCATTTCAAAAAATGGGGAGAAGACATGAACAGACACTTCTCCAAAGAAGATATACAAATGGCTAGCAGACACATGAAAAAATGTTCATCATCATTAGCCATCAGGGAAATTCAAATCAAAACCTCATTAAGAGGGGCACCTGGGTAGCTCAGTGGGTTAAGCCTCTGCCTTCGCCTCAGATCATGAGCTCAGGGTCCTGGGATCGAGCCCTGCATCGGGCTCTCTGCTCAGCGGAGAGCCTGCTTCCCCCCTTCTCTCTCTGCCTGCCTCTGCCTACTTGTGATCTCTGTCTATCAAATGAATAAATAAAATCTTTAAACAAACAAACAAACAAACAAATCCTCATTGAGATACCACCTTACACTAGTGAGAATGACCAAAATTAACAAGACAGGAAACAACAAATGTTGGGGAGGTTGTGGAGAAAGGGGAACCCTCTTACACTGTTGGTGGAAATGCAAGTTGGTGCAGACACTTTGGAAAACAGTGTGGAGATTCCTCAAGAAATTAAAAATAGAGCTACCCTATGACCCTGCAATTGCACTACTGGGTATTTACCATAGAGATACCGATGTAATGAAAAGAAGGGCCATATGTACTCCAGTGTTTATAGCAGCAATGTCCACAATAGCCAAACTGTGGAAAGAGCCAAGATGCCCTGCAACAGATGAATGGATAAAGAACATGTGGTCCATATACACTATGGAGTATTATGCCTCCATCAGAAAGGATGAACACCCAACTTTTGCATCAACATGGATGGGACTGGAGGAGATTATGCTGAGTAAAATAAGTCAAGCAGAGAAAGTCAATTATCATATGGTTTCACTTACTTGTGGAGCATAAGGAATAATATGGAGAACATTAGGAAAAGGAAAGGAAAAGTAAATTGGGGGAAAATGGAGTGGAAGATGAACCATGAGAGACTGTGGACCCTGAGAAACAAACTGAGGTTTTTAGAGGGGAGGGGGGAGGGGGACGGATGAGCCTGGTAGTCGGCATTAAGGAGGCACATATTGCATGGAGCGCTTGGTGTTGTATGTAAACAATCTTGGAACACTGCATCAAAAACTAATATATTTTATGGTGACTAACATGACACAATTAAACAAAAAGAGAAAAGAGCAACGTTGATGGTAAAGTAGATCATTATTCATTCAACTACTCTTTATATAAAGCACATGTGGGATGATGTAGTGATGAACTGAGTGAGGTCCAATAGGATTTAGGCACTCCACAGTTGCTGGAGCACGCCAAAGGTTCATAAAGGAGAGGTAGAGGGGAACAGAGACTATGGAGTAAGAACATTTTCTCAGACTGCCTGCCTCTGTGAGGCAGGTTGCTTTGGTATTGCTAACCAGTAGGATGACCAGAGTGACAGCAGTCCAGGTCAGTCTAAGTTTGGGTGGCACAGGGTGGGTGATCCCGAGGATAAATCCTCCTGGGGATCAGTGGAATCCCACATTCTTCTATCAGCCAGACTGCTCCTCTTTCTAACGGAGGATTTTTATCTTCTCCAGTGGTTCAATTCTGTAAAATCTGGAGAAATATTTTAATTGAAGTTTTCTTTTCTCAAAGACTTGTTCATTCATTCAAGAAATTTATTAAGCACCTGCTGCATGCTGGGCAACAGTCCAGCTGTTCAGAATAGATCTGTGAACTACAGCAAGTGGAGCTCCCTTGTGGAGCTAGCTCAGCTTGTAGTGGGGGCAGACAGGCAGGGAACAGTGAACACATGATGAAGAGGGTATCCTACAGATGGGTAAGAGCAGACAGTGCCGTAGGAGGAGAGGGAAATTGAAGCAGGGCAAGAGGGGCTGGGATTGCAGAGCGGCACTCTGCACTGCTCAGTGGGTTGGCAAAAACAGAGCTCTCTGGGAGGGCAGTGTCTGAGGTGACTGAAGCAGGCCAGGGGATGTGTGACTCTGGGGAAGAGGGTACTGTGCCACAGCCTCTGAGGTGAGAGAGAACCTGTGTTGGGAGAACAGCCAGGAGGCTGGAGTGGCTGAGGGGAGGAGCAAGGGAGAAAACAGGGGAGCATGTCAAAGAGATTGCCTGGCAGGCAGGCTTAGAACTTTCTGGAACACCCTCTCCTCTTTTGCATTGGGTTTGGCAGGGTGATGTGGCAGGCACGTGGAAGCCAGCCAGAGGTAGAGGGGAGTGGTGTGGGACTCAGCCGAAGAATCTGGAGCAGCCCCTGCAGGCTCTTGAGCCCAAGTGATTGCTCTTGCCTGGCCCAGCTGCCAATTCTCATTCCAGGGCTGGGGGGCTGGGGTGAAGGAGAGTTCAGACAGCTGGGGAGAGGCAGACAAATGGCCCCAGGAGCACTATCCAAGTCATGGGTTACCTCGAGCTGATTGAGTGACCCCAGTGGGTACATCGATCTGCATAGTTGCTTAACCTGGTCTTTTGAAACTTGGGGCCACATTCAGTGAGGATTCAAACCCACCCCAAACCCTGAATACTTCAAAAACCGTAAATCAGCCTTTATTTATTTCACCTCCTAGAAACAGGCCACAGCCAGAGTCCCGGAGTCCCGGAGAACCCAGGATCACATAATTAGATCTCACCAGCTCTTCCCACGCAGCACTGTCAGAGGGAAGAGGCCTGGATTGCATGAGAAGGGGCTCTGGTTTGTCGTGCTGAGTTACTTCACGTTCCAGGGAAATGCTCTGAGGATTTATGAGTAGGTTATCTATTCAAGGCATATTTGGTGGCTGAGAATATCGTTTTGTTTCATGATGTGTATTTTTTTCATGTTGCAAAGCCACAGATGCCATGAATTCTGGTGATGGGAAATAAGGACGGTGTGAGGTGTAATTCTTCTCTGGGGGACAGTGCAAAAATGATGTGATCTGAGTTGTCTGATGTGGCATGAAGTGATGTGGGCTGCCACAACCTGTGTCTCCCTTTGGGTCACCAGCCCAGGCCACAAGTCACCATTCCTCTGGTGTGGCTCACTCTGTTGCCCAGTATGTTTCTTCTGTAATTAGTAAGGAGACCATTCTTCAAAATCACTAATGTGAGTTGCAGCAAGATTAATTTTAATTCAGTGTTGTGTTTAGAAGGAACTTATGTTTTCGCATGATGGGTTGTTACCAATGTTAGGCCTTCAGAACCTTACCATCCTTAGGAAGCATTTTTGCTGGCAGTAGGGGCCAGAGTCGTCATTGTGAGGTTCCTGTTCTGTAAATCCAGGAGCTGTTGCTTCAGGGTGCGGGCAAGGCAATGGCCACAGGCAGGTCGCAGTGAGAGGGGTGATGGCTTGCCTCAAGACTACAGCTGCCTTCCTCCTATGACTGTCACCAGCTAAAGCTGCCACACGTGCTCAGCCTGAGCTCAGCTGGCCCTAATACCAAGTGTGAACAGGGGACCGGGTTACAGTTCTGGGGTTGAGACCAACCAGAGTCAAGCTGTCAGCAGTGATCACCTTAGAGGGAGTGGGGTCTAATAATCCCCAGGCATCTTGGGGCTTCTTTAGGATTCTGTCACAGGCTTTACTTTTATGAACATTTTCCACAAAGACGTTATAAGAGAACTTGTGCGTGTATTAATTCATCACAGCAGAGGAAACCAGTTAGAAGGCTTCATGAGAACCTAGGAATAAGCCCATGCTTGTGGCAACCTTGGAAAAGATGTTTTCGGTCCTCCTGAGGGTGAGCTGTTTTGTGCCATGGCAGGGCTCGGGAGATGGGATGTGTTTCCCTGGTCACCTGGGCTCAGTCTCTCCCCTGTGGAGCGTGGCTGGGTGTGGAATGACCACAGAGAGAGGCTGTGAGCCCTGGGAGAAGGCTGAGGAAAAAGTCGGTGGCCACCACATTGCAGTATCAAAACTAACCTTGCAACCCTACTCTCTCTCCAACCCCACACTCCAGCTTCCCACTCCTCAGCCCAGGCCCAGGACCGACCAACTGCCACCGTGTCGCCCCTGCGCACCCAGAACTCCCCATCCCGCCTGCCCACCGCCAGCCTCAGGCCCCACTCGGTGGTGTCGCCACAGCACGTGCACCAGCCCCCCATGCAGACGGTCATCGGGGCCCAGTGCCCCCGACCAGCCATTCCACTTACATCTGCAGCGTCTGCCGTCACGCCTCCCAACGTCAGTGCTGCCAACCTCAACGGGGAGGCTGCAGGGGGGCCTGTCAGTGGCTTGTCGTCGTCCAGCCCCACCAACACCGGAGGCAAACCAGATGAGAAGAAAAACGAAAAGGTAAGTGGCCTTTCTGAGCGAGCCCTGGCTGTGGCCCAGCATTATTGTAACTCTTTGGTACCAGACACCGATGACATTTTATAAAATTAAGGCGTGAATTAGGGCCCCAAGTTCCTGTCCTCAGATGCCTCAGGCGTGTGACAGAGATGGAGGCCAAACCAGCGAAGCAGCTTTCCTCGGAGTGGAATTCAGGTAGGCCTCAGGTTCGAGTAGGGCTAACCTGAGCCCAGATAGACCTTTTATGCAAATCAGAGAAAAAGTGTCATTTCCTCAGAATGCTTTAATTCTGTCTGTTGGGTAGTCACTACAATATTCTCATTTTGTTAGAACAAGATACTGATTGCCAGGTACCAGGATATTATAATAATAAATATACAAATCTACTTATATACAAAGTGAACAGCTTCCTTTCCGTTCAATGTGTCATCCTTGTGCAATGTGTAACCCGTTCAGCCATGTGGGATAGGCTGTTTTCTGAGGAGAAACAAGAGGGGAATGCTGGAATGACAGTTAATGTAGATAGCACTTTCAGCTATTCTTTTGTGAAGGAAATTGGGCTTATTCACAAAAGTCCAGTGGGCTTGCCTCTGTTACTACCCAGCTAGCACTGGATTAGTCAGTGTTAGAATCAGATTTCTAAATCAGTGCTGCCCAATAAAACTATAATTCAAGCTACCTATCTAATTTAAAATCTTCTAGTAGCCACATTTTTAATAAGTTAAAAGAATTTTAAAAATAAAATTAAAAAGTAAAATTCATTTTAGTGGTATAATCTATTAAACCCAATATCTAAAAATATTATCATTTCAACATGTAATCTGTATAAGAAAAATGTTGATGAGGTGTTTTACTATTTTTTACATTCAGTCTTTAAAACCCAGGGAGACATCTGCAGTGCTCACAGTGACTGCCTTGCCCACTATTGTCCTGGACAGTGTGGACCCACATGTCTAGCTGGGAGCTACTCTCTTCATTGCCTTGCTATATGAACAATGTATTCTCATTCTCTCTTGGCTTTACCACGGGATGTGGATCTTTTAGAACCTTTCTATATAAAACCAGTCTCTTTTTTTTAAGATTTTATTTATTTATTTGACAGAGAGAGAGAGAGCACAAGCAGGGGGAGCAGCAGAGGGAAAGGGAGAAGCAGACTCCTCGCTGAGCAAGTAGCCTGATGCAGGGCTCGATCCCAGGACCCTGGGATAATAACCTGAGTTGAAGGCAGACACTTAACAACTGAGCCACCCAGACACCCTTAAAACCAGTCTTCCAATGAGTGTGTGCTAGCCAGAGTTGGGGTGAACCCTGCAACACAGAATGGTATATTCAAGGCAAGGATAGCCGTTCCTGTCCCTTGAGGAACAGTACCAAAACCAGTGTTGACTGCCCAGGCTGCATGTCCAGTGGACCCTGGAGGCATGCCTACTAGCTCACTTCCTGGGCTTGGAGGGAGCACAGAGGCTTCTTGGAACTGTGCACACCAGATTCTTCAGGGCCCCCAGATCAGTGGTGCTCAGGCCTCATCATCGCCTGTCTCATCTGGTCTGGAGGAACTTTATTCCCATGCTCAGGGGTGTGGAAGAAGACTCAGTCACAGCCACTGCTCCTGTGCTCTCACCCAACAGAGCTCAAGCCCTCCTGAGACCAGCAGGGTCCCAGGCACGAAGTGAAATCATTGCTCTGCTGTTTGTGTCCATGTCTGTTTGCAAATCCTTTGGTCTCGGCCTGCTCCCTTCCACCTTGCAGCCTGGTTGGGAGATGTAGCTGGGCCTCATCAGGGGGCAGAGTGGGGGTACAAGCCCCCCTCACACTTGGAAATGCTTCCTGGAAGACTAGCTCCTCCAGGCCTTAAAAAAGCAATGGACTTGGAAAGGGAAAGGCAGTAATAGTTCTGTAAACATTTCTGGTTCTTTACCAAAAAATTCCCTCTCTCTAGTTTGCAAAACAGATAGGGCTAGGGCTCATGACATTAGAGTCAGTCTTGTAGGAAAGCGATATTACTCACCATCTTGCCCTCTTAAGCATGTTGCTAAGGAAAACCAGCGCTGGACCTGCTCTCAACATTCCCAGCCTGTTAGATACCTAGCAGGCATTTTGTTCTCACTCAGGGTTCACTCTCTGCCACCAGTTCTCCTACATCAGCAAGGATGAGTTGAGTCCAGGGGACACCCAGAGGGTCCCTCTTGTTGAAAGGCACCGTGGAAGGAATGCCTGCTCACAGAAGGAAAGCAGCAGACATGTGCCCTTTGCGCAGGCAGCAGAAATGCACAGGCCAGCCGCTGCCTGTAGTGGCCTGCGCGGGTCTGGGCACTGATGGCCACAGCCCGGGGGCTGTCCATGCTGTGCTCTCAAGGAGGAGGTGAAATGGACTTGGCGGGATGAAGCGAGCACATCTTCGTAGGTATGGCAGCAACCGTCCACGTCAGACCCAGGGGGAGAAATACTATATATCGTCCTTCGGAGTGTGATATGTGGTTTTCACTTCTCACCTCTCATACAAAGCATAAACAAACAAACAAAAAGCACTGGTCTGAAAAAAACCACCTGTTCATGGTTTTTTCCTTTTGTATTCCCAGTTGAATTTCTCCTACTTCAGAGTAAAGTGCAAACCATTCAGTTGCCATCTCTAGCAGAAGCGCCAAGACAGTAGCTATTCCTGCAAACCCATGCGGTGTACCCCAAGCCAGCTGAGTGCCCCCAGGCCGAGGGGATTTGGTGCCCTTGCACTGTGCCCCTTGCCCCCTGCCCCCACCGGGACCACAGCCGAACAGATTTCACCCACTTTGAAAACACAGCAGTTGGCTTCAAATCTGTTTCTGGGTAAACCTATCACAGATGTGCCCATACCTAATTACAGTGGAAGGAATTTTTTTAAGTAATTTGCAGTATTCTCCAGGTTGTTTCTGTTGTGAATTTTCCTCTGAAAAAGGCGGAGCTCCCAGCCATGCTGTCCATGGAGACCCAAACCAAAGCGCCTGTGAGTTTTCACAGGGCCAGGCTCTTCTGAAATTTGATCCAGGCCCTTCTAAACGTGGGCACAAGAGAGAAGACCATGACTGATGGGTCTCCTGGCCCCTGAGGTAGTGGCAGGCGTCATTCTCTTCTAGGAGCATGGGAGATTTCTTCCCAGGCATCCCGGCATACAGGGTACAAAGAGGACCCAAATGTGGCTCGTGGGCACTGATGGCTTTGGAGACCCTTGGGAGGCTGGCACTGTGCTGGTCCTATGCTTGGGGATTGGGCTTCTCAGCCCTGCTCCAGGCAGGCCTTGTGCATTGGCCCTACTTGGCCCAAATTTTGGCCCAACCCAAATTTTGGGTTGAGGCCTCCAGAGAGACTCAAGGGCTGACAGGATGGGCACTTGTTCTGTAGACTGGATCCTGAGCCAGAGCTCCTCTCTGGGCCCAGGACTTCAGCCTGAGTGTGCAGCCTCCAGCCTCTCTCCCAAAGGCTCTTCCTGCCCATCTTTCTGGTCCTATGACTGCCTGTAGGGGCTGCCCTGTGGCCCAGCTGCCAGCCTCCTGGAGAGCTGCCCACTCCTGCTAGCAGGGCCCACTCCAGAGTTGTGCCCTTGTGCCTTAGCCCTGAAGCCCACAGTGAGGAAGCCTGGACAGGACAGGGTGCACAGAGGACAGGTCTGAGATGGGGGACTTCTGACCCAGGGATTCACTTAGAGCCCTGGACAGCACTAGGGACTCTTCCAGCATCTGGAACCATTTGGGCTGACTGGGGATCTGTTCTGCTTGGGGACAGATCTGCTGGGGGTGGCCCCGCATGGAAGAGGCCCCCTCCCCAAGAAGACATGGGAAGGAAGTGTGTTGTATAGCTTCAGGGTACCCTAAGCTGGGTGGATCCCTTCCTGGTCTCCCAGGCATGGGGAGGACCTCAGGGCACAGAGAAGACCCCAAAGCATGAGAAAGGCCCCAGAATACGGAAATCATGAAGGTTACAGTCTTCAGAACTTGCAGCTGGTGGGCGTCATTGGAGGTCTTCCCACCAAGGACTTGGGCCTAATGTTTCTGAAGAAGGGACTGGATACAATTTTTGGAGTCATCTTTTGGTGCCCACAGATTGCAGAGTGGAAAGAAAATCTTGGAAGAATTTTCAGATGATCTGGAGTATTTAAGTTAACCCCTTTATGCTTAAATCCATTTCTGTGCTTGAAACAAACATCAAATACCACCATCAAATACCATGACTTTTCTGTTTCTGAGGTCTTGTGAACACTCCGTACCAGATATGGGTCAGTTATCCCTCAGGGTCAACTCCGTGGGAGAGTCATCGTAAAGAGAGCACTGTGCCCCTGGACAGAGGCCACGGTCAGTGACTAGCAGCAGTGACATGCTGAGGAAGGAGGTAGAAGATCATGGCCCTCCTGAAGCCAGGAAGCATTCCCCAGCCATCTGGCTAGAAGTCATTCAAGTCACCCCTCTCTCTCCTGTTTATTACAAGGAATATGTATGTGGCCCAGGTAGAATGCTGGGCCCTGGGATTCTATAGTGAGAGAAGATTCTGCTCCGGCCTGGAGGGATGCTGAGTCTAGTACCAGAATGCAGGCTGGTAAACAGGCAATTGGAATAGAGGGATAACTGACCCATATCGTCTGGTGCGGAGTGTTCACAAGACCTCAGAAACAGAAAAGTCCCTCACCTGCCGCCAGAGCCCATGTGGCAGTGAGCCGTGTGATCAAAGCCACGTGGCTGGCACGACCTTTATAATGAAGGCTTTGGGGAGCTGGTCTGAGAGGAAGAGCAGACCTGACAGAACGACAGATAACAGCAGCCGCTGGGCCTGGCCTGTAGTGGGGACAGGACCTATGGGTGTTTGCAGGTGAACTTTGAACTTCATCTGTATTATCTACGTCCCACCCATTTAAGAGTATAGCAAGGCATACATTATATAGGGTTACGACTATATTTTCAGTGGAAACCCAGGCAGGTTCAACAGAAAGAAATCTTGAGGGTGAAGCTCTTGAGAACAACCAGGCAGGTTTTTTTCCT